ACACTGGGGGAGACGCAAGTCCCAGAAGCACTCCTGTACATAGGACACCAAACAGTCAGCCACTTCGGGCCTGACTTGTAAACTGTAACTGAAAACTATATTACTACGCTAGCAATATTTTATATCATGGAGAATTGGCAGCATCTTATTCACTTGCCGGAGCATCAACTTACCATTCTTGGAAATAATAAACAGTTCTTCGGATGAATCTGTCATTAAGCTGTCAGCTTCTCCCCTGTTGACTGATGTTGTTTCATTTGTTGTTCCCAATGTGTAGTCAGTGTAATTAATGAATTCCGGTGATGTTACCACTGGTTCAGGGGTATAGATCTTTGGCGTTGTCAGTCGGGTCCTTGGCTGGACTGGCTCTGTTGTCTTCTTCATGCTAAACTGTGATAGCAATTAAACAAGAGCTGCATTCGAGTTGCCTTGTGCTTAGGAGATATTGAACTTAGAACACTCAGGTTACAGGTATCAGGTGACATTCGTGCATTTTTTTTTGAATTTTCATGTTCTTGTGCCCGCATTGTGCTAGAAAGGCCTACTTTCTTTCAACCCTCATTTTCTACTGGGCTCTAAAAAGTAGCTGCTGAGGCTAGGGAGGTAGGTCACCCTGCTCTGCTATCAATCGTTTAAAAAAAAATTCACTGCAGGTGTGGGATTATTTATTACTCACTCATGCTCTTCATCAACCCAGACCTGAGTTATTGTCCAGGCCTTGCTGCTTGTGGGCACAGAGAGCATCGTCGTGTGGGGACTTGTAAATGAAAATGAACATTCTGCAATCATTGGTGAGCATCCCATTGTCATCTTATGATGGAGGCAAGATGCTAAAGATGGTTGGACCTAGGACATTTCCTTGAGGAACTCCTGCAATTATATCCTGGCAATGAGGTGATTGCCCCCAAATAACCATAACCATCTTCCCTTGGCGTTTGGTATGACTCCAAACAGTGGAGAGATTTCCCCATTTCCAATTGACTGCATTTTGTTAGGTAGTGCTCTGTGATGCCATATTTATTCCACTGTTACTTTGATAGAGGGAATTCAGATCTTTTGTCGATATTTGGACAGAGGCTATAATGAGGTCAGGCGTTGAGTGATTCTGGTGAAACCAAACTGAATATTGATGAACAGGTTACTGCCACTTGATAGCACTATTGATGGCATCTTCCAACAATTTATTGATGACCAAGAGTAGACTGATCAGTTAGTATTTGTCCAGTTGGAATTGTATTGATTTTGGGGCCAGGGCATATTTGTGTGGGCAGGGTACATCTTAGTTGTGACCAAGAGCACCTGTAATGGCAAGAACAGCTCTGGAGGGGGAGAGCAAGAGAGAGAGAGAGACAGAGCGCCAGCTGTGTAGCTTGGACACCCAGAGAGTGTAAGGAGGATGAACAGGTCTCACAACAATTACATGCATCCATGCAGTCACATCATTGGGGAAACAGTATATATTAAGATCTCCCTGGTGCATATAACTAGAAAAAACTTAACACCCAAGTGGAGCGTGAACCTCATTTGCCCATCCATCTCCACCCAAGCCCTTGACCCCACTGGCCACATACCCATGGTTATACCCTGCACTCAACCAAAACCACTCAACTTCTTCAGCCCTCAAGCAATCCTGTGCAGCCTCTCCCCAAGCTACATTAATATTGGCTCAGAGACCTTTTAGATATTCCTCCCAATTTTCATTTCTGTTGAGGTCAAAATATTTCAATGATGTTTTATTCTCATCAATAGCAGTGCACTTAATTTAGATGCAGTGACAGCTGTTGGTCCTGAAGCTGGTTGATAAAAAGCAAACATTTCTGGAAACTGCTGATGTTAATGCTAGGACAATGAGCCATGAGAAAACTCTGGCTTCATTGTATGAAAATAAAATTTAATTTCACCACAGGGCTTTGAGAATTTGGTTCAGCGAATTAGATCTATGCAGTTCATCCTGTTCTTTTAGATGTGATTAACCATTTTGCACTAACCTGAGGCAATTGCACATAAGTACGCAGTTTTTGCCTAATATCTATCTTGTGAAGGAGACCCACATTAAAGTGACATGTACTCATCTAAATTGTCTCTTAACTCTAAATGTTACAATTATTGACTGACTGAAGTCTGACAGCCATCCTGTTTTTATTTTGCTTACAAATCTAAACTGGTCAGAGACAAATTTGACCTACAACAGCTTCCTCCAGTGAACAAGTACATTTGTAATCCAGTGAAAGTAGTAGAAGCAAAATAGTAAAGAGTGTGGGTGCGAGTCTTATCCTTGGATCAGCTAAACAGGTCTTGTTGAATGAAACTTTGGTAGGAGAGTGTATTTAAATTTGTATGTGTCTATGGGGCATCAAGAGAGGCATGTGCTTCTGGGGATCTTGGAGTGAAATCATGAAGGACACAGACCAAAACTGTCTGTAAGTGAGCTATTGGTAACAGGAGGATTTTCTCTCTCTATCCGTGGGTTTAAATTGTCCCATTAAACAATAGTAGTCATTGCCAATGTTATTAGAATCATAGAGCTGTACAGCATGGAAACAGACCCTTCAGTCCAACTCATCCATGCCGATAGGATATCCTAAATTAATCTAGACCCATTTTCCAGTGTTTGGCCCGTATCCCTCTAAACCCTTCCTATTCATGTACCCATCCAGATGCCTTTTAAATGTTGTAATTGTACCAGCCTCTACCAGTTCCTCGAAGTTCATTCCAAACACGCACCACCCTCTGCATGAAAATGTTTCCCCTTAGGTCCCTTTTAAATCTTTACCCTCTCACCTTGAACCTATGCCCTCTAGTTTTGAACTCCCCTACCCTGGGGAAAAGACTTTGACTATTCACCCTATCCATGCCCCTCATGATTTTATAAACTTCTATAAGGTCACCTTCAGCCTCTGATGCTCCAGGGAAAAAAGCCCCAGCCCATTCAGCCTCTTCATATATCTCAAACCTTTCAGCCCTGGCAACATCCTGAACCCTTTCAACATCTTTCCTATAGTAGGAATTGAGCTGCTTTGAATAATGGTAATGCAGTATATGTAGTTTGTCACCTGCAGATGTTTTAGCCCAAATTGGCAAGAACATAGACTTACTGGAAAGGGTTCGGGGTGATTTACAAGGATGGCACCAGATACATGTGGGTATACACATCAGGAAAGGATTGACAGGCTAAATCTCCTTCCTCTTGAAAAAAGACAGAGAGGCGAACTATTAAAAAGCTGTTTTAAAATTATCTTTTGACAGTACATACAGGAAGAGTATTTCCTCTCATGGGGAAGAACATGGCTAGGAGCCATCAATACAGAGTAGTTAGCAAAAACAAAAATATGAAATTGGGAGTTCAGAACAAACGTCTTCAACCCAATAGTAGGAAGAATGTGGAATTCACTACCAAATGGAATGGTTGAAGCAATTGATGTAGATACATTTCAGGAAAAGCTAGACAAGCAGAGAGAGAGAAAGGAATCAAAGTTTGTGGTGGTAGATTTATGTAAGGAAATGTGGGGGGTGATTCAAGTGGAACATAAACATGGCACCAACGAGTTGGGCTAAGTTATCCAATGTAATCAGCTCATAAGGACGGTTGATGAAGAAAATGGAACATTACACTGAGCACTAGAGGATGGTCGTAAAAAGATTTAGGTGCAATATTGTGCAAGTATAATGGGAGCTTTCATTCTACAAATGGGTGTACTGTACTGTAGTGAGTACGGAGTAATGGTTTAACAGAGTGAGCATTTGGGATAATGATATACCGTCATATGACTAGAGGGAGATCTCCTGAAATTGCACTCAGATGGTGTAAATCAATGACACTGTAATACATAAATAAAAATAAAAACTGTACCCAGACTACTGCAGAATAATTTAAGAGACAACAGGACCCCACATCACACCAACCAAAAGCTGAAAAGGGTGAACTGGATGTTAACACGTTATGATGTACTCAGTGGGAGGAAAGTTAACTTCTTTCTGTGGGAGAAAGCAGGTAATCACTCTTCAAAATAAAAAGTGAATTGAAGTTAATGTGGTTTTCAATGCATTTCCATCTGTTTTGGCATTTCAGGCAGAAGTTGAAATTGCTTGCAGATATTTCCCAAATCAATTGAATGGGGAAGGAACAGGAAGGGGGATGGGGAGGGAGGGAAATATTTGACAGAATTACACATTTGCTTCTTTTTAAGCATATAAAATTAATTGTATATATATAATTAATTTTATATCATAAAAGTTAATCATTAATTACAACACAGAATCATGCCTAGCTGTTGACTTTAAAGATGTGACAGTTTACAGGCAATGAACCACAAGCGATTTAAAAAAAAAACCTTTCTATTTGGAAGAATGTAAATAGACAGGAATTCATTATTCTTGACAAATTTTGCCCAATATGTACTGTTAAGTATCACAGTAGTATGGGAACAGCATGTCATTTTATGTTTATATGTCTAAGCCTTTATAGACTGTTTTGACTCATTTTACTTTGCTAGTTGATAATCGAATATTTCAAATACAGCATTAACTTGCATCACCTAAATCTAAACTAAAGAGGATGGGGGGAGTTTGATGTCCAGTCTTCTATTCATTGATCCCGCATCTACCTGTTCTTAAATACAAGTGGCACCAGTGCAGTTGGCAAGTAACAAGCCATTTGACCGTTTAGACATTAAAGTTGGCAAGTAGTAAACAATCTGACATTTTGGTACCAGGCCATGACTGCACTCAATTGGGGACAGAGTACTATGCCAAAGTTGACATAGGAGTAGTTCAGGGTAGAGATCGGTCTGTGACTTGGAGGGGAACTTGCAGGTGCTGCTCCTGTCCTTCTAGGTAAGGGAAATCACAGGTTTAGTGGGTGCTGTCAGAAGGAGCTTTGGCAAATCTCTGCAATGTATCTTGCATAACCACTGTACATTGGTGGTAGAGGTAGCGAATGATTAATGATAGTGGATATGGTGCCGATCGAGTGGATTGCTTTGTCCTGGATGGTGTCAAGCTTCTTGAGTGTTGTTGGATCTGCACCCATCCAGGAAATTCAAAAGCATTCCATCACACTCCTGACCTGTAACTTGTAAATGATGGACAGGCTCTGGGGAGATGAGAGGAAAGTTACTTACCACAGAATTTCCAGGATCTGATCTGCTCTTGTGGCCTCTATATTTATGTCATTTACAAAAAACAATTCAGTTTTCGGTTAATTATAACTTCCACGATGTTGATATTGGGAGATTCAGTGATAGTAATGCCATTGAATGTCAAGAAACAATGGTTAGATTTTATTTGCTTGGAGATGGCAGTAGTCATGTTGTCATACTGCACAGAAACTGGTCCTTTGGTCTGACTTGTCTATGCTGGCCAGACATCTCAATCTGACCTCGTCCCATTTGCCATCATTTGGCCCATATCCCTCTAAATCCTTTCTATTCATATACTCATCCAGATGCCTTTTAAATGTTGTAATTGTACCAGCCTCCACCACTTCCTCTGGTAGCTTGTGCCGCACACGCACCACCCTCTGTGCGAAAAGTTATCCCTCAGTTCCTTTTTAAATCTTTCCTCTCTCATCCTAAACCTATGCCCTCTAATTCTGGACTCCCCCACACTACGAAAAAGACCTTAGCTATTCACCCTATCCATGCCCCTCATGATCTTATAAACCTCTACAAGGTCATACCTCAATCTCTGATGGTCCAGGGAAAAAACCCCAGGATATTCATCCTCTCCCAATAACTCAAAATCTCCAGTCCCAGCAACATCCTTGTAAATTTTTTCTGACCCTTTCAAGTTTAACAACATCCTTCCTACAGAAATGCAATCAGAATTATACACGGTATTCTAAAAGCACTTACAAGGTGCTTAGATTTTCTTTTGTTGAAGATGGTATTTGTATGGTGGAAATGTGCTTGCCACTTATAATTCCAAGCATGGGCTGCTTTAACATCTGAGGAATCGTGTATGCTACAAAACACTCTGAAATTGTCAGCAAACATCCCCTTTTCTGATGTTATTTTGGAGGAAAGCTCACTAATGAAGTGAAGCAGCTTCAGATGGTCAGGCCTTGGACACTCCTGTATTGATTTCCTATGACTGAGATCACTGTTCCCTGTAATATTTTTGCCCACTGCATGGACGTCCGAGATCCATGTATGGTGGCAGCTCACAGAAGCCATTCTTCTTCACGCCAATCAGATTGCATGGGGCTTCCTAACTGCTCTGCACCTTAGAGGGAACAATGCCTGAAATGTGAGACAAAAACAGAAATTGCTGGAGAAACTCAGCAGGTCTGGCAGTATTTGTGGGAAGAAAGCAGAGTTAACGTTTGGAGTCTGGAGATACTTCATCAGAACTGGATGATTGTTCTCCAACAATCATAACCTTTCATTAAGTATTGCTCCAACCAGCAAAGTGTTTTCCCCTCAATTCCCATTAATGTCAATTTTGCTTAAGCTCCTTGATGCCATACTTGGTCAAGTGTTGATTTGATGTCAAGGGCAGTCACTCTGGAATTTAGCTTGAGTCCATATTTGGACCAAAGTATCTCCAGCAGAACCCATGTGACAGGTAATTGTCATGTAATTGCTGCTTGATAACATTGGTGACAACACCTTCCATCACTTTAATGATGGTCTAGGATAGACTGATGGGGCAGTACTTGGCCGGGTTGGATTGGTCCTGCTTTTTATGTACAGGACATACCTGAGCAATTTTCAGGTAGGTGCCAGTGTTGTTCTATACTGGAATAGCTTGGCTAGGGGTACAGCATGTTCTGGATCAAGTCTTCAATATTATGATGTATAGAATGATGTCAGGGCCTTTAAACCCTTGCCATATGCAAAGCTTTCTGTGCTTTGATATCATGTGGAGTGAATTGAATTGGCTGAAGACTGGCATCTGTGATGTTGGGGAGGCCCAGACGGATCATCCACTCAGCACATCATCATAGAATCCCTGCAGTGTGGAAGCAGGCCAGTCAGCCCATCAAGTCCACACCAACCCTCTGAAGAGCATCCTGTCCAGAACCACCCCCTGGTCACTGTGGGCAATTTAGCATAGCCAATCCACCTAACACATAATCGACTGTGGGAGGAAACCAGAGCACCTGGAGGAAACCCACATGGACACATGGAGAACATACAAACTCCACAGTCACCCAAGACTGGAATTGAACCTGGGTCCCTGGCATTGTGAGGTAGCAGTGCTAGCCACTGAACTACCGTACCACCCACTTCTGGCTGAAGATTGTTTTGAATGCTTCAGCTGCATCTCTTCCACTGATATGTTATATCCTCTACCCCCTTTATTGAGGAAGGTGATAGCTGTGAAGCCTTCACCCCCTGTGACTTGTTGAATTATTCATCACTATTGGCATCTGAATGTGCCAGGACTGCAGAGTTTCAATCTGTTGTCGCTATGCTTAGTTTTGCCTATCACTTGCTGCCTCTGCTGTTTGGCACACAAATAGTCCAATGGTGTATCTGCACTGGGTTGACACCTCATGTTTAGGTGTTGCTCCTTTCATGCCTTCCTGAATACTTCACTAAAGGGTAGAGAGTGAGGGCTAGACCAGTTCATGATGATGGGCGAACACAATTTAGCTGCTACTGATGGCTCACAATCTCACAGGCTGTAAAGTCATGACAGATGTGAGTGTCATGATGAAGTCCTTCCCTGATCATAAGGCATATCTCCACCGACTTCAGTGTTAAAGGGATCTCTAAAACAAAAGCATACAAGAAACAAGTCCATCTCTAACATTCGGAGCGGACTCTCAATCTCAGAGTCATTAAATAGCGGTTCTATCAGTAATACAGACACCATGTCAAACCTGTGAGCGAGTATTAGCTGTCATGGGAGAGTCACTGGGCGAGATGTGGCTTACAGCCAAGGTGAGAATTCTCTCTATAACACTCCCTGTCCAACATGCAAAACTTCGGTTTGTGGCACTGGCAGCGTTAAGAGTGTGGCTTTAAGCGAGGGATTCTGAGTGATTTCTTTTTTAATGTTTCCACTTTGTCTCCAGTTTCCAGTAAGATTCCGGAGTCAGTAACTGACTGACTGCCGCGAGAGTTGTGTTCACTGACCTGCTGCGCCGTTCTGATGATGCTACTCTGCCTCATGGTAGCTTCAGCTTCCTCGGGGCTCTTAGAGACTCCTGTCCTTTTCCTGGAACAGCGGCAAAGCAAGACCAGCACCCAGATGGCAAGGAAGCCAGCAACTGTGCCCAGTGTGCCCCCGACTGCCGCCAGTGGAAATGCCATCACGGTGTGAGAGCTTCTCTCCGCTCCCCGTGTCACATTTCGGGGGAAATCTGCAGCCCTCTTGGACTCGAGCAGGCGGCTGAAGTTATCTTCCATTGGCCCGCCCTGGGAACTCATTCCTTACCCACGGTGAAGACTGACAGGCGGTCTGGTGAGCAAGAGATCCCGGGCACTGCCATCCTGAAGTCAGTCACAGACGGGAGGCTGCTGAAGAGGCAGAGGCAGCATTTTCTGTGGGTTTAAACTGATCTCAGCAGGAGAGGCGGGGCTTGCTGGTGGGATACAAAACAGGGATCTGGGGCAAAGGCTTCAAAGAGGCACCGAGGAACTTATGCACCACTCACGAAAGGCAAATTATTGTTCGTGTTTCACATCTCGACATCTCAAGCGAGCTATCAGGAATTGACAGCGTGTTGAGGACCTGTTTATCAGCAGAGAAACAAGCTACAACGGTGCAGCAAACAGCAATATCTATTATTTATTAACTCCCAAAACAGAGACTGCCAATTACCGTAAGATAGGATGTATAGGTAGCAGTCTTTTCTTTTCCCTTAATGCACTGATTCATTGGATGAGGTTTGTGTCCCATGCAAGCAGGACTGAAGGTCTCAAAGCGTTTGGGGATCGTTGAGAAATCGGTGATTTCATTCCGCTATGGAGCAGTTAATTATATAACAGGTTCCTTACCAAAGCAATTAGGAAAGGGCACAGGGAAGGTAGAGGTAGGAAGGGAGAAGCCACTCTCCCACGTTGGCTCAGGGCACTCTTTGAAGTGGCTCATTCTGTACCACTCTTGCCTTGGCCTAGCTCCCACCTGTGCCTCCATCGAGTGGCCGCTTGCAATCAAAAGTGGCCACAACCGCCAAACTGCTTTGACAGCTGGACTAAACCAGGCGAGGGTTAAGTCTCCTACCCTTGGCAACTTAAGGACTTGACCACCTTGGAATGCAAACATTGATTTCAGAGAATTAGATAGATGAGTTTCAAGTGACAAGTATTTAATAGCTAGCAAAGACTGTACACAAAGGCACTTACAGTGAAAGTAGAGATAACATGACTACAACAAGCCACCAGTACTGAGAACAAATGCACTTCTCTAAACATCACCCTTTTCAAATGAACCAACAAAAAAATGCATAAGCTATCATTTACAGTTACATGTATTCCAAATTGCTCAATATGCATGATCACAAATAAAATTGTCATTCTTTAACAAAATGGTGTATTAATTCTGCTCTGTTCCAGTTTAAGACAATAAGAAATAGGAACAAGAGTAGGTTATTCAGCCACTTGAGCCTGCTCTGCCATTCATTAGGATCATGGCTGATCCAACACTCCGCACATCCACTTTCCTGCCTTTTCCCATAACCCTTGATTCCCCTACTGATCAAGAATCTATCGATCTCAGCCTTAAATGCTATGGCTAGTCCTGTTCAATTTCTGGTCAATGGTAACTCCCAGGATGCTGATAGTGGTGGATGAAGTGATGGTAATGCTGTTGAATATCAAGGGGCAATTTCAAAAATAAACTGTTTCTAAGATAAACATGAAGTTTAAACTCCCCACTCAGTAGTCCAGAATGTACAAAGTTCCGGAAATGTTTCAATGTTTCAAGGTTCAAGCAGGCTGTCATGAAGGAACTTCTCTCAGAGATACTTCAGAGTTACCTGTTTACAGAGAAAATGTACATTAACTGCATTGAGGATGACCTTCAGAAATATATTGTTCCTTAGAGGCCCTATGCCCCACCTGTCTTAAGCATTGCAATAGGTTTGATGAAAACAGAAAATACCGGAGGAGAAGCATTGCTACAGAGTGTACCTCAATGATAAGTCATCACTACTAAGCAAAACACCCAATATACAGGGCAGTGCAAGTTCAGCTGGATGCAAGACACTTAGCTGAATCAGAAAGCAGCTGAACATCAGTCATATGAAGATCATAAAGACTGAAAGAAATTCTAGACGCTCTGAAATCTGTCTAAGGACAGCAGTCTGCTGGTTAATCACTAATCCTCGATTGCCAAAAGTCAACATTGCACAGAGGAAAGGGCCAAGTTCTGGAAAGATGTTTGGGACACTTGGACACATCCTTAATAGGTCTTCATCTATCGATGAAGAAGCAATCAACAGGCTGCCAAAGGTTCCCATTAACTTCTCATCATGATGACCCTCCCGCACTGTTATAAAAAACAAAGTTCAGGGAGCTAGTGCCATCCCAGCTGAAGTCTACAAGGCTGGAGATCAATATTTGATCAAATACCAGGCACTGAGATGCTCACCTGAGCTGGCAGGTCAAACAACCACATTATAGTGAGACAGTCATACCTAGTTATATTGCATGTAGACTGAATGCATATCTCAGCACTTGTTACGTTTTATTCATTCACGAGATGTAGTGTGTCATTTGTTAAGTCAATATTTATTACCCAACTATAACTGTCTTTGAGTGGATGGTGGTGAGTTGCCATCAAGAACCTCTGTGGTCCATGTGTTGTATGAAGACCCACAATGGCATTAGGAAGGGAATTCCAGAAATTTAACCCAACACCACTGAAGGAACAGCAATATAGTTCCAAGTGAGGATGTTATGTGTCTTGGAGGGGAACTTGCAGTTAATGGTCTTCCCATGTGTTTACTGTCATTGTTCTTCTTGTTGGCGGAGGGTGTGTGTTTGGACGGTGTTGTTAGAGGATCGTTGGTGAGTTACTGCAGTGCACCTTGTAGGTACAACTCTCTTCTGCTACTAAGCATCAATGATGGAGGAAGTGAATGTTTGTTGTTGTGGTGCCAATCAAGTGGGCTGCTTTGACTTAGATGGTGTAAAGCTTCTTGAGTGTTATTGGAGCTGCACCCATCCAGGCATCTTGTTCTGTACTCAGACACTCAGTATATAGTAAACAGACTCTGATGTTTAGTATTGCTGAATAAACAGGCATGCTGTCAATGTTTTTTTGTTTTGCATTCATCAGGACAGAAACAAGAATACCACATTTCAAAGTGAACAACAATTTGGACTTCATGATAAAACGGTGCTGATTGACTGGGCAAGTTAACTCTGATTGATCAAGTTATTGCCAGGGAGAGTGCACCATTGACCAACAAATCCCCCCACCCTTCCCCACCACCATATTTTAATCCAGAAAGTGTGCAATGCCTGGACATATTCCTTTTACCTGTGGAGGACAAGGCCCTGAATACGAATATATGTAGCTTCTAGCAAATTTAAATGAGACAGATTGTGAGCCTGACTGATAATCTTAAATTGATGGTTAGTGCAAATGATAGCATGCTCAGGATTGTTCAGCAGTTGGGATGAATTCGGAGACCTCCACATGGGGCTGCTCCAATGCCTGGTCAAGGTGGCCGTCAACATATCCAGGCAGTGGGTATTTCACTGGATCATCTGCCCTGACTGTCTCCCTCCTTGCTGAGGCTATGAATACACT